ATCCGTTCTCCCCGTCAACATTAGCAAACTTCAATAAAAATTTTGTCGATAATTGAAAGCCACAAAATCATAGTGACAAGAATCCATATACGAATGGCATAAGAAAAAATACAATTTGAATAGAATTTTTATTATTGGAGAAATATTAGTTAATTGTATAATAGAACAAGACAGCTTTCCGGTACGGTAAGGAAGATGATCAAGTAGAAATCAGAAATCGTGCGTTAAGTTTTATTCGAAACTTGATTTCATTAACAACGGGAAACAAATATCAATATTATTTTTCACTGGCCTTATACTGTTTGTACTTATTCTGTGCCCATTGAAAGTTAGAGGGAATATATTGCTGATTCGGAAAACACCTGTTCAGGAGAAACACTAATTTTTTTATTATATTGCAACTATTCAATGAAAAGAAAGATCAAAAAATCATCGATAAAGATTATGAAATGAAAAAATCGCATGAAGACTAATGTGTATCTAAAAGATATCGTTTGCTTATGATTTTGAAAATCCAATCTTCCGTTTATTTTCAGAGGGAAAACAAATTGAAACCTTCATTCACAAGAGAAATTTATCGATGTACACTTGATCATTTCACCAAAATACAAGTGAACATTTCCCCTTAATACGGTCGACAAAAGTGTGTGGGTGAGATGCGTGCGACTTTTCTCTAAATTCATACCCGAACACACACTCATATATCCACACTCTCGTTCTATTCTTTGTTTGGTCATTGAGAAAAATAACTAATGCGTCATTGTATTTGATCACTCATTCTGGATATAGGTGTTCTTACATCCTAAATACATCCATAACGATTTAAATTATCTTTTTCAGAGTATAAAAAATTCTATTTTGAGAACATGGAGTATACACCAGACATTGCTACATAAATTATGTCTTTAATCTAGTTGATAAGAATAACTCGTAGGGTGTGAGTATTGGTGCACGCCGTTGTGAATGACAACAAGGACAACATTGACACTCATACCCCGATGGTTACTGATCGATCTACTGTCAGACTCATTGATGTGAGATCGGTAACGGGTTCATCTCTACATTCCACACCATAATCATACCTTATTCTTCCTACATTTTCGCTTTTCTTGATTCATCAGTCATGATGATTTTTGCTCTTGAAATTCAGACAGGATTCGTTTCAAGAAGAAAGAAAGAAGATTTTTGTTTAAACTTCAAGGTTAAAAGAATCTTAATTATAGAATACTTGAAATTTTTTATAGTGCAGATCAGTTTCTTTTGATAGAAAAGCAACGAGATTCGTATCTGATATTTAAGACTCCTTCAAAAAAAAGTCACTCTTCGACAGGATCATCAAAATTAAAATAAATGTGTAGAAAGATAGTCCCGTGAGCTAATCTTTCATACACGACAAAAGTTTTTATTCGACGCCTCAGTTTTTTCAAGAATTTTTGAAGATTTCTTTCATCCTCTATATGAAAAATAAGATGTTTTTGAAAAAAATCGAAAATCTTTTTCTTTTTTGTCAGTTCATTATATGTCGAACGTACAAAGCAAATATCTCAGTGTAAGTTCATGTAAAGTATTTAAATTTTTTTGTTGAAAACAATATATCAAGACGTAGGGCTTACCAAGGCCTTTTTTTAATACATAACTTTGTTTTTACTGTATATACAAACATTTAAATAAATAGAGCACGATTTTTAGAGTTTTTTGAGTCATTGAATTTATGGTCCCTTTTTTGCGCTTAAAAAGTAACAGTTTACAAAAAAAAACGGCTCTGGTAGGCCCGGCATCCTGATATGCTCTTTCAAATGAAAAGAAATAAAATATTACAATGAGCCTGAACGGAGGACTTTGGTTTGCCAAATGAGCTATTTGTGGCCCTTGTTTGGCAAGCATCTCTCTCAAATGTCATGATATCGGACTAAAAATTTCATGCCATTTGAATATTCTCGGGCTGATATCGATTTTTTAGAGGAGGAGGGGGCTTAAAATTAACCTCGCGTGACTTCTTAGTGTTCTTGTATATATACATGTAAGCATCTGTACGTTTTTTATTCATTTTTCTATAATGATAGTTGAGCGTTATTGTGTTGAATTTAGCGAGCAAAACTTATTCTTCTCAAATAACGTGTAACGTATATGTCTATATTAGGAAAGTGAACATATTTAATGAAAAAGATTCATTTGTTGATCCATGGATAAGTTGATTTTAGAGTTTGGAAAAAGAGTATCATCGAAACCAATGACTTGGCGACAAATTAGTCATTATCGAGTCTAGTTGCTGCAGACGAAGTAGACGTATTATAATAGTAACTATATTTATTTAATGTAAATAATTTTTTTTATCATTTATCTTGTTTTCTATAAAGTTGTCAGATTCAAGAGAAACAAAGTCATGGGTCAAAAAGTCAAGCACACAAAAATCTTGCTTGATGGAACTATTCTTGCCAAATCAGTCAAGATTCAATATGCACGATTCTAGTTAGAAGGTTAACATCAGGTTTTTTTTAGGAGAAATATTAAGTTGAAATCCATATAAAAAGAATTGATGAATCATAATAATAACAATTTCGGGTAGTGAATGCATTCGCCAAACTACAGAAAACGTTATTCGTTGAACAAATAGTTTTTTCATTGAGATGAGGATCTTCATTCTTCAAATATTCGATAGGGTGGATGTGGGTGTGGGTGAGTGTGAGTGTGGGTGTGGGTGTGGGTGAGTTTGAGTGTGGGTGTGGGTGTGACTGTGGGTATGGGCGTGGGTGTTAATCTCCCGTTCTTTCATACCCACACCCCACCCTTGAAGTGGATAATTGAAGTTTCTGAGACTTATACAACTATTGTATGTACACCAAAATAAAAATATGGTACGTAAGAGACAGTTCATGTAAAAAAAAGAGTTTCTTCAATAATTTCAGCAGAAATAAATTACAAAAAAATCCGTACACAATCAATTATTTTGATTAATATGTTTATAATCGATTTGAAACTGAGTGAAACATCGGTTTTAATCCCATTAATCAAAATAATCGATTACATATTAGTAATTCTTGAAGAAACGTTTTTCCTTTACGTAGGAGTTTTCTTCATAAATGTGTAATGTTACTGAAAAATCTATAAGACTTATGCAAATCGATCCAAGTATACCATGACCACTCATTAGGAAGTTTAAAAAAACACTGCAAAAAAGATTAAATTAAAAAATTTCAATAAGTAGAGCATAGATGTGGGATATGAATGCAGACGTAAGATTATGGGCATGATTGACAAGAAAGCTCAAACTCACATCCATTTCCTTAAAATATGTAGACGAAAATCCCATGCATTATTTCCAAGAACATCAGGATTTTTTCAATTGTCAACATTAAATGTTAATGAAACAACTGAAAATCCTAAGAGCTTAGACAACACTCTATTCAAAAACTTGACCAACAGAAAAACGAAATTGATCAAATACAAACGAAAACAGATGAACTTATTCTTAAGTAAGAAACGACGACTTATGAAAATATTTTGTTTACTAAAAATAATCTCTAATGATATTCAACGAAAGATAAAAGAGGCCGAGAAGAACTTCACTTTTTTTCCTATTCGACATTTACTCGTGAACAATTATTGAATTTATACCTAAGAATAGACATCAATTCTTTGAACTCATTAACAAACGATCCATTTCTTTTTTATTAATGATTAGTTTGTAATGATTTCTAACAAAACACAAATTCAAATGATCGAAAACGAAAAATTGATTAACTTGAATATGTTCACATGAAATGGTCAGTTTTACAACAAAACAATCGAATTGAAACATTTTTCAGTTGAATATTTTCTCCTCGTTTAATTTTCTCAAACAATGAAATATTTCGAAAAAAAATATCAGTCCAACGAATCTATTTATTATATTATCTAACGCTCGTTCTATTAATATCGAATAATATGATCACTTATACTTTACATTGCATGTATTCGTGACTAAAGAGAATTTTGCCTTGGGGTCCTAAAACATAATCAACGAATTAGAGGCATTCACAATACTTTCTTTCTTTATCACTTTAATATAGAAGGAAGAGCAAGTCGTACGAATTTTTATATTTAATAATTTTGAATACTATTTTAAGTAAAAACAATGTATAGATAGATTTTTAATATTGTTATTCTTCATTAGTAAATATATATATGTGTTTGTTATAAGTTTTTGTACTCAAACTAAATTAAAGGATTGTTTTCAAGAAAATCTTATTCAATGATCTTATTCATAATGATCAATAGCACGGTTACGTCTATGCAAAAGAGACATATTCACCTGTAATTTAATGAAGCAAAACGAAAAAGAATGATATTTATATCGTATTCATATGTACGCAAGAAAAAAAACTGACGTAATCTTTCCTTTGTATCGAGACTTTTTTTTGTTGTAAAGCATGGACGACAATATTATATTTGTATCGTGAAGTTAACTTTTTTTCCTCGCCATATAAACTATTAGTAGAGCTCATCGGATCGAATATTTTCGAATTCGTCTTGATAGTTACTGTAAAAACATGAGCACGTCCTACACAGTTTTTCAGTACATCTTGACGACTATCATTTAAGAATGTGGTCATAACTGAGTTTTACCTTTAGAATAGCAGCTGTTGGATCAGGCGTGGATCCGATCGAATCCAACACCAACCCGACGGGCTCTAGCTGTTAGTAAGATAGATGACGAGTTGTATATTGACATGATTTCAAACACTCATATATGATTTGGTTTTTGTTTTGTGTCCTTTCATGTTAAAGAGACATAGTGTGATTATTGTCAAAAGCCTCGATAAAAAGAATGGCTATCACTTACTCTATTTTGTTACTATGCATAAGCGATAGATAGAGGGAGAGAGAAAGAGAGAAATCGTCGAGGCGTTTCTTTTACGATTTTTAGTAGTTTTTTTTGTCTTATTCGTTTTCTTTCTCTAGTATATATAGTTGGTGAGCATCATTATTTGCCCTCTTTCAGTTGATCGTCATAGCTCGTCATGCCTACAAAGCCAATTAAAAAATTTCAAGGTCCAAGCCTTTATAAAATGTTTGTTGATGCTTATATGAAAGCTCGACCTGATGAAAAAAAAGCTGTAAGTTTAATTGTTTAATGAAAACAAAAATAAACAGATTTTTTTTTTGAAATAGACAAAACATCGTGGTGCTATAGCTGAATTTAATGAAATAAAATTGGATGAAGAATATCTTAAAGAAAAAATCGAAGAATATTTAGAAATATATAATAAACTTAGTGCAACTAATAATCAAGATTGTGAATATCAACCAAACGTTAATCGTAGTCGAGTATTAAAAAGAAATAGAACAGATCAATCAAATGAAACAACAAATCAAGATAATGATGAAAATAATAATGATGATGAAGAATCGAATGATTGTGACTATTTTGATAAAAATGAAAATGATCAAAATCATACTGATTATGATGATGATGAGTTATATGATGAAGATGATCAAGAAAAAACTAAAAAGAATAATAAGAAACCGAATAATAATAATAATATTAAAAAACGTAAATTAATTGATGAAGAATTGCTTAAAGATCCGCATGGATTACCATGTGTACGTGGTGTTCCATTAGTACCATTATCAGCAGACACAAGACAACCGGCACAACAACGTGCTTTTAGAGAATTAAGTGCAATTAATGATCGAATTGCTTCATTAATACAAGTGAAACAAATGGGTTTATTAACACCAGAAAATCGAAATCAATTAAAACAATTAATGCAAGATAGAAAAACAAAACATTTTGAATTAAAACGTCTTCAATCGAAACAAAGAGCTTCAAATAGATATAGAGATAAACGACGAAAAATTGTACTAACAATTTTTTTTTTCTTTCATCTTCTTTGTTTTTTTTTTATTGAATTATTTATAGGTTGAATATTTATATGAAACAAAGCCTGAATTACATCCACAATTAAAAAAAATTTATCGTCCTGGTGGTGGTCGACCACGAATTGAAGAACAATGTCCTGAATTATTACAAATAATTGAAGAAATTGCAAAAGTTGACGGAGCAAGTGATGATCGTAGACGATCAGAAACTATTCGACCTTGTTTAACATTAGATGATTTAAGAGAAAAACTTAAACAAAGAGGTTATGATATTAAAAGAACAACACTTTATTATCGGTAAATAATTAAAATCATTTAAAGGAGCATTTTTTTTTGCTAATTCTATCACCAATTTTCGTATCATCTTATACAATTGTTTATTTTGAACGCGTTTTTACTAAATCAGTTTTACTTCATTTTTGCATATATGACAGTTAGATGCAGTACCATTCTGAATACTTAAAATTTCATACGGTTGTTCTTTTGTTTGAATTAAGAAAATCGAAAGAATATTTGTGTAAACAAGAATAAAGTTCTCTATCGAATAAATTTTCACTATGTAACGAACTTGAGAAGAGAAGTGCCCGTGAGATAGTATTATTCGTTTTATTTGGCTTATTGCCACAACAAATCGTCTCGTTCACTCACAAAATATACGTCTATGTTGGAAAGATGGACAATGAACGGTAATGAAGCGTAGCGATCACATATGAAAAGAACGGTCACAAGGTCAATAGAAAAAAAAATATAGATGAAGATGAGATGATACATTTCGTAACACACTATGGAGGAACATTCTTTTTTTTTAATTGTTACAGCATTAAGCAATATTCAGAAATATGTCTTGAGCGATTAGTTCTATTCAAACACTGATCACGAGCAAATTAAGTAAACAAAACTAAAACTTTTGAATAATTATATTCGAAGTAAATTTCAATGATGAATTTATTTCGATTTTAAATTTCAAAACAAAAAAAATTGAAAAAAGTCATGAGAAAAGATTGAAACATAACATATTTAGATTAACGCCATTTGTTGTAACGATTATGAATATGATATCTATTTTGATTGGAAAGTTAATTATTACAAGAGAAACCACTGAACGTGATAGAAAAAATTCCGGTATTAAAATTCAAAGTGAGCAAACTCTACTACTTAGAATGGTTTAAACTAGATGCTAGCGCGATATTTTAATAATATTCAGACAATATTTCAACAAGAATCGGTTTTTTTCTATATTTTTGATAAATGAGTGTGATATAAATTTTTGGAGTTTTTGTTACAATCTATTTATCGGAATATAATTCATTTGGTTTGCATTGAAATTGGGTGATCAAGGATTGCTTAGACAATACTTGATATCATGAATTCTTTTAAATTAAAACATTTCTAACCAATTCGATGGTCAAAAATTGTTTTGGCCACAATTAGAATTCAGTCAGACTAGAATATTCAAAAAGATTCTTAACTGTTTCAGATTATCTCTATCTATGAAATTTTTATCTGAATTCACTGATAAAAAGTTCATCAATCAAAAAAGAAAAATATATCAAAAGGCGTAACTAAAAACCAAGTGAATATCATTGTGACGATCATTATATTCAGATTCACCTCAAACCTAAATTTATACAAATTTCATTAGAAAATAGATCAATGTTGTCAAATTTCGATTACAAAAAAAATAATTTATTTTGATGATCTAATTATGAATATATACTAATATAAAATCTTCTGTTGTTTTTTTTAAAATTATTTAGTCTGTTACCTCATCGTGCAAAATCAAGAGACGGTCGTCGTCACGTAAATACAGCTCCAGTTCGTCTTCGTCGTGCTCAAAATGATGATCATGGCAAACATGAAGATGGTCATTTTGCTACAGCAACAATACGTTATATGAAAGATTTAGCTTCAATATTTGGCAATGATTGTGTTTTATATTTATCTCAAGATGATAAATGTAAAGTTCCAATAGGTTTACCTGCCGCTAGAGTTCAAGCACCAATGTTAATGCATTTGGATTATCGAATAAGTTTACCAGATCATGATTGGGTAGTTGCACCTCGACATCAATTAACACCAAGTGTATATGCAGCATGTTTTCTATCTGAAGATGGAGATTTAGGTTATTCAGGTCCAACATATATAGCTATACGTTCAGCTAAACATGAGATATCATGTGCTGAATCTCATGCAAAGGATTTTGATCGTCTTGTTTGTTTAAAAGAATTTGAAAAAATAGCACGTGATGAAACTGGACAAGTGAAACCAATTGTTATTGTTGCTGTTGATGGTGGTCCTGATGAAAATCCACGTTTTCCAAAAACACTTGTTGCAAGTATTAGAAAATTTAAAAAATATAATTTAGATGCACTTTTTGTTTTGACACATGCGTAAGTTTTTATATTCTAATATGAAAATATATTTGAATAAATATATCTTTTTTTTTTGTGAGTCCTGGCCAATCAGCTTATAATATAGTTGAACATCGTATGGCTCCATTATCTCATGATTTAGCTGGTCTTATATTACCACATGATCATTTTGGTTCACATTTAAATGATTCAGGTGTAACAATAAATATCGATTTAGAAAAATTAAATTTTCGTAAAGCTGGACAAATCTTAGCTGAAACATGGAATCAATCTGTTATCGATGGATTTCCATGTGTTGCAGAATATATTAATCCACCAGTAACATCTGCAGATGAACGTAGACTAGTTGATACAAAAATTGTTATGGATGAAATTTTACGAAGGTTAATTTTATTTTAATTATTTTTCTTTATAATTGACATTGTTTTCATGTTTTTCTTTAAAATAGAGTTTGTGGTGAAGAAGAAGCAGAAGAAGGACATGAATTTCGTGTTCATGCATCAGATGAATATTATCAAGAAATTGCTCGTCCACCAAGAGCTCACTTTGGTGAACAACCCAAATATGATATTGATGAATATTGGTGTGCTATGCATGTTTTACAAACACAATATACTTTACAAATTATTCGTTGTAATTCAGTTGAATGTTGTGGTCCATGGCGTTCAAATTATGTTCGAGTATTTCCTCATCGATTTCTACCAGCACCTGTACCATTTGAACGTACACCATATGGTGTTAGAATGGCTGAGAAAGATTATCAAAAAGGACAATTTTATGGATCATTATTTCAACGAATTCAATTTCATGGCATTGTTATTCAACATACACAGGTTAAAAAATACAATCATAATAGAAATAAGACCTAACGGTTCAAGTAGAAGATACTTATTTGATTTTTTTGTTGTAAAACATAACGAACATCCTCTAGAATGAGTTCAGTTCAATCATGAATTCAATCCACATAAATGATCCTATTCATATCCAATTGAGTACCTAAGAATAAGGATATAAGGGATTAGTTGAGGAAGTTTTTGGTCAAGACTAAGCAAAGATCAGTCCTCGTATCCCATTTTTTTTTTACAAAAACAAATGATAAACATTGTTTCAAATTTCGATTTTCCTATTGATTAATCCCTACCACAACGATTTTTTTTTCAGAATGAAATGCTACCATTTGATTACTGTTGTTCATCAGTAAAAAAGGAATTAAAAAAACGTACGTGTAAAGTATGTAATCAATATATTCCGTCAGCATATCGTATGAAAAATCATTATAAAATTCATGCACAACATCAGGAAGATTTCGACCATAATGAAGATGATACATTACCACCACCGCCACCACCAGCAGAAACAACTGATATAATAACAGATTCAAATGAAAATCAATCAATAACAACAGGTGGAGTAGCATCTACACTTAAAACAGAAATGTTAGATTGGCTTCAATCAGATTTCGATGATGGTAATTTGGATCCAGCAGCAGATCAACTTGCAAGTGATCGTGTTACACGTTCGATGAAAAAATTACGTGTTGAAGAAAACAAAGATGAACATGACAATAAAGATTTTGTGCATGTAGAATAAAAACATTTAACATTTTTATTAACAACAATATCTTCACTTTTTATTATTATTCCAGTTTAGCTTTTTGTAGTCTTACTTTTCTTTTCTGATTAAGTTTTGTTTTTGAATTTTCATGTTGTTCTTTGTTTTGCATAAAGATTTTCGTATAAAAAAATGTTCTAATATACAACGCGAAGGGTGTGAATGTAAGTGTGAAATGTAGATGTGAATGAGAAGGAGATCATACGCTACCCACATTCACACTCACCCTACAAAGGCATAGTAGCATTGAATTCTTTTTGGTTGTATAGATCTTCAAGATTTACTTGTGAAGATAAGTTTCAAAACAATAGAATAAATATCTGTAACCAAGATCTAGCACATTTTGTAAGAGCATGTATTTTTATCTTAAAACAAGATATGTATAATATCAAGAGAAGAGTTCGAAGAAGACGAAAATTTGATGTACATTTCTTCTACCCAGAGAATCAATATTGTACAGAATCGAGAGATAATTTCATTTTTAAAGAGACTTCTTCGTTGATCAGTTATTTCTTTCTTGAAAATTAATTTAGTTTTTAAAATGTTTTAAACGAAGTATTTTTATACATGTTTAGGTTTTTTACTTGGTTTTTCATACAATAAAATGTGATATTATTTGATTATTAAACAAAGATGAATTATATTCACCTAGCTAGAATATGTTTTTATTTAAATGATTCAATCGAATTTAAAGCAATGCCAAGTGAAGCGATGAAAAAAGACGTTATGGTGTATGTACTTGACGTTTCATGATAAATCGGAAATCTTTCCAATGATCGACAGGATCATCTGTTTCACAGACTTTGTTGAAATCGTAATGTGCATAAAATTTTTGTGCTTGCAAATTCTTATGCCATACTAGAAGCCATATAGGTCATCTCGGGTAATTTTCGTTTAACCAGCGTTAAGCGACATTCATCAATTGTTGACCAAATACATTATTTCGTTGAACATGCTGAATATACGTATAATTGATGAAGTTGTCCATCTTGGTCCGAACAAACATCGAGATAAGAAATCTCGTCACCACGACCGAGAACAGCATAAGCAACAAGTTCACCATTCTTGAAGGTTCAATAAAAATTAAAGAAATCATAATTATTTCATAGATCTTTTCATTCGCTGATTTAAATATTGTAATGATCATAATTTCAATACTTTAGAAAGAAAAATTTTTTTTAGCCAAATTTAGAATTCTAGACACAAGAAGAGATATTTGCTTCTTAGACATGATCAAGTAGTGGTAGACAAATCGGAATTGAAGAACGGTCTTTTGTTCGGTTTCGATACATCGGTTGATATAACTTGAGCTCCTCTTTAAGAAACACTGAGTTTCAGTTCAAGTATATTGCACTTTCCGGTCGAATGCAATTGGAAAAAACTGAAAATAAGTCATTAGTTTTCAAAAGCAATCATTGTTTTCAATTTTGGTAGTTTTATTTTTCTTCGGTTCGCTTGTTGTTTCTTTAGTGACTAATTTTTTTCAAATTCAACGTTAAAAGTGAGTGCGAATACTCGATGAAATCGAATATGAACTCAAACTTTTGATGATAGTGACCACCCGACAGAGTGTTATGCACACGCTGATAGAATGCTTTGTCATGAAAATATGCATGGATTTTTTTAAAATTTTCTTTGTCAAAAAAGTCATTTACACCAATTTTGGACTAAGTATTTTCAATTTAGTCCCAAACTTTCAATATTCTTCATCAATGCCAGATTAATGGGATAAGATTATCATATTCGAAATCGATGATAAAAACTGAATTGGTTGACATATACTTTTGCAACTTCAATGAGTTTCATTTTATTTTCCAGTTTTCATGAGGGTGTGGATGTGGGTGTACGTGCAAGTGTGTTCTTCGTAATCACACCCACACCCTCAAGATTCCTTGTATATGACAACTTATTAAGAAAATATTCGACTTAGGCATGAATAGAAATGGCTACGGGTGACTATGTATTATAATCCATAACGACATTCGAATCCTCGTTAAAATTAGCTCGAAAGTCTATTGATCGAAGGTGTCCTTTTTCATAAAGCTATATTACTGGATGGAAGTAACGAAGAAGTCGATGATTTTAGCTAGTTACGTTTTGTGATGATGATATACGATAATCATCGATTTCTTAGGCGCTTGGTTATAAATGATGTGGGGGCAGAGATGTCCATCGCGGCTCAAAATCTGCCGCTGCCGCGCCGCGGCCAAAATCAAACAAAGCTGCCGCGCCGGTATTCGAAAAAATGTTTTGATTTTTAAGGCTTTGACTGATTTGAAATAGAACTGATGCCGCTAATCGATCAGATTCGCTAAGTCTTACAGTATAGCATACATAAACATGCAGATTCTGTGCAAATTCATGAATTTTTGAAATTTTTTCCTAAAAAGCTGCCGCCGCCGCGCCGCTGCCGCGACGGCAAAATAAAAATCTCTCCCGCGCCGCGATAGTTTTTGGAAAAAATCTGTCGCTGCCGCGCCGCCACCGCCACGGCGGCAGCGACAGCGGCAGCACCGCGATGGACATCTCTGTGTGGGGGTTGTCTAGATATCATTTTCAAGTTATCGTATGGTGAAAAATATTCTTCTCGTTTTGTGTGATGAAGTAGTTTGATCTTATTACTTATCAGTCACATGTGCTCGTTGTGTTTTTTTTCTTTCTCTGCAACATTTCATGCGCCTTTCTCTCCATTATCAAAGCTAAGCAAATATTTGCCATTATCGCTGTGTTGCAAATAGTATCATGACTGACTTTTTCTCTCGTCTGTCATTGCACGGTATACTTTGTTATAGATATGTCTTCGACGATTCTACCCTCTACAAGTCAATATGCCAATACAGGCACATACGTGCCAACCATTCTAAGTAAATAGATACTGCATGAAAGGTACACTATTGGGCTATTGCTTTTGTTTCAGCACGTGTCGAATATGGCATCGGTTCACTATCTAAATTAAGCGAAGTGCTCAATGAACTGTCCATCTCGAAACCATTCATCGTTACTGGCAGATCACTAGCAACAAATACTGATATTATAGAGCGGGTGAAGAATGCTGCTGGCTGTGAAATAGCTGCTGTTTTTTCAGCTATTCAGCAGTTTTCACCTATTCAGAATATAAAGACCGCCATGACTGAACTGATCAATACCAATGGTGATGGAATCATTGCTGTTGGTGGTGGCTCACCGATTGATGCGGCCAAGTTAATTGTCTATCTTTACAAGGAAGAGACTGGTCGATTGCTCAAGCTGATCAGCATTCCAACGACTCTCTCGGCTGCAGAATACACTATCATCGCTGGTTATACTGGTAAGTGTCTGCCATTCGATATAGAGCATCTACATAAGAGTTTTCGAACTTGTCAAGATTTGATTTTAACCCCAATCGCTTAAATTGGTGACCAGTTGCCCAGGTTTGACCATTGAATACTTCGGAGGATTCTTAGTAAATCATTATGTCAATGGAATGTGAGTAAATTGAGTGCAAGGAAGCAGTATGATTTGCACCATTCGGTTCTCTGCTGCTGATATTTCTCCATTAAAATTTCAAAAAAAGACTTGAATGCATTATCCATCTCCCTTGAAGAAATATGACATAAGACGTACGTCATTAGCGACCATTGAAAGGAATAACTAAATAATTCTTGCTGTTGACATGATAGAACCCGTGCAAATATCATGTTACTATTTTCAGATGAAAATGGAAAAAAGACAAGACAGAAGAGCAGCGATATCGGTTCATCCGCTGTTATACTTGATGCCACCTTGTCATTGTTTACACCGAATCGCTTATGGCTTTCAAGTAAGTCGTTGAACGTCAAGTAGTCAGACAATGATATTTTTATAACTAGCGGGAATTCGAGCTCTGGACCATTGTGTCGAGCAACAATATAGGCCCAGTGCTCCCCTACCAGCTCGGGTATTGGCTCGAGAAGCGGCAGGAACCTTGTTCGAATCGTTACGAGCTTGCCACAAAAATGACAAAGACGTTGAGGCTCGGCAACGAGCGCTCATTGGTGCTTGGCTGAGTCTGTGGCCTGATGAACGTATTACCGCTTTGGGACCATCACATTCACTTGGACATCAACTAGGATCACCGTAAGTCAAGCAAGATCTTTTTGCTGTAACCCATGTGGTAAGGCACACCCGTACGGTGAACGACATACAAACATGAGATGAGCTACACTTACTTTCATCGCATTCTGAGCGTTTCCCAACTAAAAAATTCGTTGATCATGTCTCTTGTAAGATTCTTGTTGCCACCGTTGTTCTCATATCTAAGACTGCCTAGCTTCAATGAAAAATGTTTTTTTGAACTAGGAATGCAGTTTTGAAAAGACAATTATATCAGCATTTAAGATGAATTTGTGTGGCGATTTCTAAAACATGCATGTTGTTCCTTTTTGTGTCTTTACAGTTCCACAGCAATTCTATCATTCTTTCGAATCATATTTATGCATGCATTTTCACTATCTCACAGTTAGCGTCAATCAAAGTGTGAGATTTCATAAATGATGTCTCACCATCAGATATCTGATGTCTTTGTGAATCACTATAGCATACTTTTCAGGACAAACATCACTATTGCTCCTTAATTTCAACATCCCATATGCTTCATTGTATTCGATAAATTAGCTGGTTTTACACCTATATAGACATAGCCAAATGAATTTTTTCGAATACAAACAGCTTCTATATGGATACCCTAATTACCAACAGAAATGAATGAGCGATGATACCACATGAACAAGGAGTAGAGAGAAAAGAATCACCAAAAGCATAGCAATTTCGTGTTGAATAGCAGAACGAAAAGAAAAGAAAAGAAAGCATCATCATGGTGAGGCTGCTGTATACGCTTAGTCAGGTGTCTCATAGTTGTAATGATCATCCTCAAACAATAAAATTCAAGTACCAGATTATCCGTAACTATGCCCTGCGTTCAAGGGTAGATAGAAGATGCATAAATATTAATCTTTTGAAAA